TGGATGCTACAGTGACCCATGAATGCTTTGTAGAGTATTTACAAAGTCCCTGCTGAATCAATCAACAGCAAAGCTTGTGTTGTCACCCCCTGTGATAAGCATGCAAGATCTGGAACATAACTAGAAGTTGGGGAAGCAGAATTTGAACAGTGAATTTTAGAAAAGGAGAGGTCATGAAGGAACCTGAGCCTGAACCACTGCTGGTTGTGAGACTGCAATCCATTTTCTAAAAACTTTTATTTAAAATCAGGGAGACACCTGCTTTTATCGAAAACGTGCTGCCCAAGGCAGGAGACGTTGACTAGGAAAAGATCTACAGCATGATGACAGATACTATCAGGTCTGCTGGAAGCTTCTGAGGGCAGCCCATCATTCTCTTCCCTGAGACTTGGCAGTCTTGTAACAAACACCATCCTGGAAACAACAAAAATGAAGGCAGGGATTCCACACAGAAGTCGTTTTCTCTGCTTCACATTTTACGACAAAAAGAATGGGAAGAATACTGCCCTAGTATCAATAAATTCCATCCTGGGGCCTCTGTGTGCTCTAGAAAACCAATTTAAATTATCAGCACTTACTTCCTTAGTTGCTCAGAGAAGCCAAGGAACTGAAGTGCTTCATCCAAGCTCTCACTAAGAATCAGACAGCCCGCTGGTTCGTGAAGGTAGCAGGTCACACCAGCCTGGTATCTGACCTGCCCACAGCACACAGCCAGCTCCCTTCAGGCATATACTTCTGTCCTTCCCAGGTACCACCTCAAAAGCAGAAAAAGGAGGATACAGCCATCCTGGTCAACAGGTAACATCTGCTCCAACCATGAGGCCTTTGAGTGTCAGAAGTTTTAAGGCAGCTGCGTTATTTTTAAGGATGGGTCAACTGGCCAAGACTGGGCTACAACATTCTCACAGTAAGTACCTCTCCAGTTTTCAAACTTTTCATCAGGTCCTCACGCAGTTTCAGTCTGTGATCCAACATGTAAGACAGATGTTGGCTCACTGCACTGCTTTCCGATCTGTTTGCTTTATTTATGTTTGCTTAATACCTATGTCCTGGCTTTCCTTTTTGCATGATGGGGTCATCAAACTTAAGATACTGCGGCATAGTCTGATTAGTAACTTTTGACAACACGGTCACAGTTCCTTTTGAAGTTGCTACCAAACAGCAAGCCAAATTTTTTGAAAGATTGCTGCTTACATTTGCAGTGCAGAATCTGCTTACGAATTGCAGGAATGCCAGCAGAATAATTAACCCAGTGCTGACAGTTGGTGTTACTTTATAGCAGTTTGAGGGGGGTTGTGCTTCAGATCTTTTCAGCCATAAAGAGTGTCTCATACTTCGGTGTTTCAGTAGGTTTCATTATTTACGACCAGGTCTCCAGTTGGCTGGGCTCTGATTTTTCCTACTTTTACTCAAGCAGTCTAAAAATAACGTGATGTAGAAAAGGAGCAAGTTTTAGAGCTTTGTACATAATTCAGGCCAACAAAACACCCCCCCCCAGTAACTACCAAACCAATCAGACTATCCTAAACCTTACCTTATCCCTCCATGTGTCACTGTCCCAAAGTCCTGATCTTGATTGCTTAGGCTTCCATGAGGAAGGGACCGTGCAGAGTAAGTTACAGGATCAGGACGGCAGACTGCGAGCTTGCAGAAGCACAGACTTCATCTTGGCAGATTCTTCAGAGTGCCACACACATCTCTGCCGATACAGAAGTAATAATAATATTTTCATGCTAAGAATTCTGCCAGTGCTAACGGCCAGTAGATGACATCCCTACAGGGAAGTTAAAAAGGACCCTTGGTCTTGTCAGACAACTTCCAACATAAGCCAAGGGGGCTGATGTTAAAGCTCAGGACTGCAGATGGAGAGATAAAAGCACATGGAATGTAAAACAAATAGCAACCCCTCATGGTTACGCAAATTCAGCCGAGTGTCACAGCAACCACCCATACTGGAGGAACTTGATAAAGACGGGGGCTGCAACCTGGGGACAGACAGGGCTTCTCTTCTTCATATATGCGAAAGCTTCCACGTCCTTAGCTCTAGGAGCTGGGAGTCTTCCCTGTGGTGACTTACAGGACCGGGCGGTGACATAACGTCAGGTCAACGCGTGGCGAAAGTAAATTTCCATCAAAACCAAACACCGTTCCCACCGGCAACGAGACACTGCTGTGAATCGATCAGGCATGTACTACCAGTTAGAAACACCACAGGAGACTTTCTCAAAGAACGTGCTTGCTCAGGAATCCCTTTTCTCCATTTCTCCGTTTAATTAGTCATTGCATTATAATTAACAAATCCATGCAATAATCATTGTCATTTTAATCATCACAGCAGAAAGTACATTACTTCTAATTAAACAATATTAAATACAACAAAAGATGCTAACCAGGTTGTTTTAGAGCTCCAGGAAATGCTCTTTTACATACGTGCCAGAACAGGCAAAGTTTAGTTTGTTACAGCAAATTTCTGTATCTTCCAGGCTATCTTACAGGGTGTAACACATCCAGATTGACCTAGGGAAGGAGGAGAAGCCTGGTGTGCAGAGACGATATCTTTTATTGAACAGCTCTATTTCTGTAGGTATTTGCTACGTTTCAAGCAGACTCCTAAGTATTTTTAATAACCAGTTAAATGCCCAGAAATATGTTGACTGACAACTACAGAGGCTAAAAACTTCCATTTACATGTACAGCACCAACATACACTTTCCCCTGCAAACACACCCCAAGAAGCACAGAGAAACCACTTCTGAAGTGCGGGAATAGTTAAGATTTGGTCACAAGCCAAGGTGCCACCATGCCTCCTCAGCATCAGAGGCCCCACCAGCTCACTTCGTGTCAGCTAAGTGGTTGCCAAAGCACAAGGAGATTTTGCCATCTTGGGCTGAATTTCAACCAGCCACAAAGCTGCATCCCATTACCAACTTAGAACATCTCACCCCTTTTTTATATTTTTTGGGGGGTGGGAATATCCCCTCTCTCACAGCCCACCTCAGACAGTGCGACTCCAGGCTTCAGCTGGAGAATTCCCCTACTGCAGGTAACAGGAGCTCTCCTTTCACTCCTTTTTCAAAGCTCCTCCAGAAAAATTACATCTGTGCAGGGGGAACTCATCTCTGACATGCCAGGGAAGTAGATGCAGTTGCGTGTTGCAGAGTTCAAGCTGCACAATGTAGCTGGTTTATCTATATACTTGGTTATAGGCTTGGGTTGAGGGATGGAAGGGAAACCTTTCTCATCATGTAACCACAACAAACAAAACACACAGGATTTAAAGTGCCAAAATTAGGTACTGGTACAACCATTTGCCACTGCTGCCCCAGTGACCCCATCTCATACACCGTACCAAATTTGTCTGGACAAAATGCTGCATTGCATCACCCCACGAGACGCGAAGATTCTTAAAATCAGGATTTTGCAGGACGAGCTTGCACAGACAACGTGCAAAACTGCCCTCTGCTGTTTAGATTCAGACCTGCTCCAATAAACGATAGCGCGAGCGAATTAGGTTTTCATAGTCACAAGGGTCCAAGTTGTGAAAAGATGCAGAACTAGCTGGCAGAAGCTGCTTTCTGCCTTCATGCAGAGTAGAAATGTCATGCTTGAAAGCCACTCAAACTGCCTCGCAGCACGGACCATCCAGGCGGATTTACAGGCTGCAACACTGCCCTATTCAGCAACCAGCAGCGCGGGCGAGCACTAATGGACACCCCCTCATCCCAAAGGTAAGGAATCATGAACATGCTCAGGGCGCAAGGGAAATGCTGGTAATTGTCAGCACGGGCTGCAGGACACGCATTTATTAACCCATGAAATCAAGGCCTGACCTTTACAGAACAGGACCTGGAAGGACACCTGTGGAGTCCAAAGCTTAGAGCTCACAGGCCTCGTGATTATCAGGTTACAGCAGTGATCAGAAAACACAGAGTAGTAACCTTACTGAAAGATAGACAGAAAATAATCTGTAAAGTTAGCACCTGTATGTCCCTATTGCAGGGAAAGAAGGGAAAACCCTGACTTTTTTCTTTTAAGCACAAATGGAAAGCTCTGTACTTTGAAAAAATTGCCCAGTGTCAAGTCTGCTGGATGGTTGGGTACAGAAACAGGGCTCAAGGGCCAGCTGCTCTCTGTGGCTTCACGCACACATTCACACAGCACATGGCGATTCCTGCCCTCTGAGAACAGCTTCAGATGCCCACATCTTCTCTGGGAAGCTCTGCTTGGGTACAACTGCGAAAAGCAAGTAGTTACCTCCACCAGAAACTCCATTTCTGGAGTGGCTGTGATGAAAGCTACTCCAGTCTTTATGAACTAAACTCAGGTTTCAGATCTTTGCAAGACACTCTTTGGGGTAGATTTGACTGCTGTGCAGGCAGGCTGTTCTTTTGGTCACTGCCCAAATGAGACCATAACCTATACTGGACAGAGTAAACACACACATTGAAAAAACAAAGATTTCGGTACAACAGAAGCCTTGAAGAAATGATTTCCTTCACATCAACCCTTTTCATATTTGTATATGTTTAAAAACTCAGAAGCTTGGGTGTACAGTATGACATGCCTTTGAAATACTCACTAAAAGCACTTAGTGACCACTTCAAAGATTCCCTTGAAGTTTCACTCATATTAATTTTAACACAATGGTCACGCAGGGCCAGTGTCGAGCCTAAGGGACTTTAAACACACCATCAACAGATGTACAAATAGAATTTTAGAAAGATTCTTCTGCGTGCATAAATAGCTTGAGCTTTGATGATGACTGGCTGGCTGGCTGCCTCCTACACAGCAGGGCTGGGACTTCTCCGTTTTTCAAGTTAAGGGCAACAATAATATTCTGTCATTCCCCAGGGTAAGGAAATTAGTGCCAGATGATTCAGTGTGTGCCTGATCACTCTGGTTTTGGACTCGATCCCATTATCTAAAAAACTTAATGGTGAGACATCAAACAAAGGTAGTCCTGCATGATCATAAAACTAGCTGGTTTTTTGTTGCTTTTGTTTTTTTTTTTTGGCTATAAAAGCTGCCTGAGAAGCTCATAACTGATGACAGGAGACTTCCAACATAAAACTAACAGACCTCTGATCTCCTTTACGAGGAATCCTCTAAGGGGAGAGGCACAGAATGGAGGATGGCTCTTCTCTGGGACAAAGAATTGTAGCTTTACCTGCAGTGAAGATTACAGATATTAGCACCAGGAACTCTGAGCTCACCAGCAGCAAATCCTGCAACAGTTCACGTCCACATTTTTTAATTTGCACAGGCAAAAAGAAAGAGTCTTATTATGCACAGCTAAATGCAACAGCATTGCTATCAGTGATGCAGCAACACCCATCAGTACCACTGCACCTCCAACGACCGGCTCCTTCTCTTATGCCTGCAACCAGTCCTAAGTTACAGCCTCCTCCATCTGCGGGCTGTGCATGCCAGCGACACCAGTGGCAGCCCGTCATTGCTGGAGAAACAGCAAACTCCCATTCTAGACAGTATCTTCAAGTCTTCACAGTTTGTAAAGTTTTAGCTCAACAGATTTTGGAAAAAAAAATATATATATGTATGTTAAGCCTTCTTAAAAGGATTCAACATTCCCACCCTACTAGACAAGGCACTCAAATCAGGTGTCAGAGCTTCTATTAGCTTACTAAGCAAGTGCTTTTGGATTATAAGGTTTGTGACTGGATCTGTACTTCTTAAGGCTTCATTTAAATCTATGTTACCTACAATATCTAACTTTCCAGGATCAAGAAAACTAAAAAGGTTTAGAGTAACATGGGTGTCTAAAACAATTATTAAAGCGATGAACATTTGCAAACACAAAAGTCTTCCATCAAAATCAAAGAACTGACACACAGATTTGCTAAAATACACTTAGCTCAGGAAAGCACTGCTGTAAGCTAAACTGTGAGTTCAAACTGGCAACGTTATACCAGAGTGTAGAAAGCTATTCAGGTTTGAAGGAAGGGTATCTTACACTGTTTGGGTTTTAAGGCAGCTTGATTTACCTTGAGGTTAAAAGGCGAACCAAAAAGATATTACACTGAAATGACCACCACCAGCAAGGACAGCAGGTAAATATGGGAACAGTTCTGACAGCAGTAATCTACGAATTTTTCCTAACCCTTTAAATTAAGAAGTAAAAGGCAAACTCCTCCAAAAAGCCCAAATGCTCCCCATAAACACAGAACCTACTGCAACTTATGTTTTTTATTACATATTTTAGGTGCAGAATAACTTTGTCCCTCTAAACCAAGGAAAAAAGGAAAACAGTCATTGTCATCCAAAGATTACGGCTACTAAGTTTTACCTCTACCTTATGCTACCTGAACTCAAGCACAACAAAAAGACTGAATTACAGCTAAAAGTTTTTGTTCATACAAGCCATCAGCCTCAGTATTTGTCCCACTACAGAAATTTTCAACAGCAGCTCAAATCTTGGGACACTCTATTTTCACGGGGTTAGTGGTGAAATATCTCCGTAACAAATTCAATTGTCCAATCTGACAGACTCAGCAAAAGTCATTTGCACTCCTAAACTCTGCTGTCTTACTGCTAGATAACCATGAACTATCCTCCATTTAACCTCTCAAAAATTCTGTAATAAGCAACTTCTGAAACTTTAAGGCCTGTTTTGGAAGAATCTGCTTTTATAGAAACTTAAAGCAGGCTGAAATGAGACAGAAATAAACAGGAACGTTAGCTAAAGTGCATTCAGAGTATCGCTTCTGTTTGGACTATGCCATCTAGTACCTTGCTAGTATTGTATTGACATCACAATCACAAACTATCAGCTGGTCTGTAAGACAAACACCCTAAAGCATAAGTCACCGTGCTGAAGTGTAAAGCTACATTCTTAATTGTTTCTTCTGCCACTTGAGTGGCCATAGACAAACCAGAAAACGGTAGAAGATAGTCTGTTTTCATTTGAAATTTACATGCAGATTTACATTTGCATCCTACCCATGGAAAATGAGCAGAAGTAATCTTTTGAAAGCACATTTGAGGCTACACATTATTTGCCTCCTTTTCACTGTGTACTGACATTTTACAGGTTTCTAATTCCACTAGCTTTAGCTAGTTTAGCCTGGGGATATCAACATCTTACCTGCATTACTTGTATCAGTCCAAAAATTTTAAAGGCAAGTGGCAAAGACTGTTAACAACCATCTTCTATGGTCTTGAAAACTAGGGATTGAAATGTTAATTATCTTATAAAATGTTTCTGGTTCTCCACAAACCAATTGTTGTGCTCTTAAAATCTGTCCAAGGTTCTACTCCTAGCAGCTTTATTTCAGACACCTGCACTAACAGAGCTTTCCTGTTTGGCAGATACAGTTTTGCCTTGCATCACAACAGGTGTTATTGTACCTGACAAACAGATGTGTCATTCTTTCTGCAGCCAGTCACCTAGTACCATTCTGATTTCATCTCTTTTTAAAGTGACCAGCTACAGCTTAAATGACCACACACCTATTTTTTCTTTTTTTTTTTTGAGAAATTACATGAGGTTTTTAATTAAAAGCATTGGAAGACCAGCCATAACATTAAAAATAAATTTTAATGTTAAGTCATTTTGAGATCGTTTGCTCTGACACCCAAATGTTCTGAAATTTAAAGTAGTACTATAGGGACACACAAGTGCAGATAAATCTTTATTGCCATAACTTTTTGTTTGTTTGTTTGTTTTTCAAAAATGAGCATTGGGTTTTCAATAGGTTGTAGTTTTATGTCTTTATATGTACAACATTACAACTGCATATTTAATAACGAAGTTAGTGATACTTTGATAACTCAACACAGTGTATTTATAAAATGAATTCTTATCAAAATACACTTTTCACTGGGGTAATAAATAAAATCCTGCGAAACCCACCTACACAAAGTTATTTTTAACTCTGGTAGAACCCGATGTGGTACACAGTCCATTAACTACTATGTTTGCCCCTTTATCCCCCTACTGATGCTCATCTTCTGGGGTAAGAAAACACTTTTTTCCCCTGTTGTGGTGAGACCTCATTCAACATCATCTTCAGCCAAGCACTGTGCACTTACAATTCTCTGTAAGAAGGAGAAAAACTCATTCACAATTACATAAAATTGACATTAGGCAACTGATTATCAAGCAACTTAGTTTTACACTGAAAATTAAGCAGTGTAACTACTGAGCGAGCTGATTCATCTGTTAAAAATTGTAATCTATTTGACAAAAGGTTTTGAAGCCAGTTCTGTAGAAATTGTATACTGGGCAATACCTACCAAAGCTGAAGCCAGATAAATAATATCCTGTCAGCCTCAAGTGATGACCTCTGTGTGGTTTTTGGCACTGTTCTCTTATGAAACTTTTTTGCTCCATTGCTTCCCCAGACCTTTACATCTTGTGTTTTCAGTGCTTTTCAGTGTTAACGATACGAGCCTTAACATGCAATGTTACCAGGCCTGAGCTGTAATGAAGCTGACTGATAAACAGCACCAAGTCTCTGCCTTATGTGAGGTAACATCACAAGGGAGCTCCCTTGGACTTCCAGAAGGTAAGATTTCTATTATTTATTTTAGAACAGACTCGCTTGCTAGCATATTATCAACATTACATGCACAGTACCACAGTTGAAAAAGAGAGGGCATTTTATACACCTAGCTACCAGCACTTTTGTCATCAGGAATACCACTCAGCTTCCAAAACTGTCACGTGCTCTGGTGCTAGTTAATGTTGATAGCCGGCCTGGAAGCAATAGTCTAGCAGAAACAGATTCATTCTGATAGATTTTTATAGCACTTACAGGTACTTATATGTAATTAGAAAAATAAACAAATAAAATCAAGACCCAGTGCAAGAAAGGTCTCCCTTTTCTGACATCCAACTTCCATCTGGAAAACAGTGGATCTGCTTATACACTAAGATGCCTGTAGATGTCTCTGCTTTGGAAGAGCTTAGCATACCCTATGCATAAGAAAAGTTTTCTGCTTCTGTTTTGCCCTGCTTGCTATCAATGCTGCATGATATTTTCATAAATATTTGTTAATGTTCTAGGTTAAAGACCTCCTTTTAATCTAACTGAACCTATACAAAAACCATGTTACCAAAAACAATACTCAAGGCTGATGTAGTTGATGACAGAAGTAGTTTAATTAGTTTTCAACCTCATTAACAGGGAATGTTTCACATACCTGGCTTATTGTAGGGAGCTTAGTTAGAAGCATTTGAAACACTGGTGGTGGAAGAGTCTGCTGTAAAACTTGTAGTAGCTGCTGCGGCTGTCCACACACAGCAATGGCATTGGTCAAGTGATCAACACCTTTCTCATATTCACCTGCATGACAAATCATGTTTGAAATCAAACTTCTTCCAAAGGATGAAGTATTTACATACAGCATTCACCGACAATTCATTAAATTACTTAGAATCAATCCACACAATTCTTTTCTTCTACCTTGTTGAAGCTTCTCAACACAGAAGGTTCGAAATGAGCAACCAGATTTACTTAGGTAAATCTGACTCCCAGAAGATCTTAGTGTACAGAAATCATTTTCTAGAAAAAGAAAAATTATTTTTACAACTTACCCTTCAAAAAAATTTATGCTATTACCTTGAGCTAGTAGTTCCTCGCCAAGCTGGATCTCCTCAAGGAAAAACTTCTGAACTGCTTCAGCATCTTTCAGATCAGGCAACTGTAACACACATAGTAAAACTGAAGCTGGCTCTTAAACATTAGTTAATAATTCAGCAGAGATAATTCTCAACTAAAACCAAACATGAACATCCACACTTTTACACAGAAACTGACAAAGGAAATTAAAAGTATCACCATCGAGTTAAACTTAATGCAGAATGTTTTTGAAAATCAGATTCAAGTCTCAAACTATTGCATCACACGTTCATAGAGGGCCAGAGTCCGAAATACCTCTACTCAGTTTATTATGTACACTGTTTCATAGCAAATAAAAATTCTAAGTAATGTTCATTGCAACTATTAAAATCAGTTAAGATATATTTAACTCTTCGTAAAAGATCCATTGGCAATAAGGAAAGAGAGAAGCAAATCAAATTCCTACAGCAAAAAACTGCCAAGTTCAGCTGTAGCTGTATCCCATCAATGGCTTTTAAATCTGAGAAGTACTTATGGACATACTACAAAGAGGAAAACACCCTCAAGGCACACAGGAAATGTTATACTTTCTAGTACAAGGCCTCTATTTGACTTGAAAAGTCAACAATCATTTCATATGGTTATTTGTGAAATTGTTAAAATATCTGAAGACTGGATATTTGCTGGAAGTGTTTGTAATGCCAGAACCGAAATAGACAAATTGGCCTTTAAACATACTTCACAACTAAACCTGGTATAAATGAAACATCTTTCAAAAATCGCACTGCGTTATTGAGCACAGTATTACCTTGGAAAGCCCTGCTCTCTCTTTGGCAAGCTTCTGTTTCTTCCTTCCTGTAAGAATAAAAATATCATGTGTTTTTAATTTGAAATTAGAAAGTCTTCAGATTATAGTCCTAAACAGTGAACAAGTCAAAGTTATTTTTGAAATAAGAAACTGGGAATATATTCCAAGCACTGAAGGCTGAACACAAGACTGCAACCCACGCTCTGCACCAGAATATCATTTAGAGGCCTAAGAAGGAGGGCTGGCGGTGACACACTGACTCAAAATGACAATCCTCCTGGCTTTGGTAAACACCAACCCCACAGGGCCTGTCGGAGGGCGTACCTCGTGCACTACACAAGCACTGAGAAGAGAATTAGGCTAATACAAGATTTCTCTGCATGACTTTCTAGCAACCATTAGACACAGAAGAGCTGCTATCTAACCTTGAGCCACTTTCACTTGAAAATACACGATGCACCACCAAGAGAAGCTGTAGCAGGTGGCAGCACATCCGTGTTCTTTCCCAGCTGTTTTGCAATGGCACGGGCTTGGGAAGTAGTCAAAGAGGTGGCAGCATCTCCCCATCCTGCTGTAAAAGCCATACGAACACACACGTTCGTGAAATTAAATACCCAAGGAGAGCAAATGTTTACAGATGGAACAAACGTTTACAGACTTAATCACCCAACCTGAAGGCATAAAGTTGATCTGCAAAAGAAAACTGTAGCACTCCAGCACAACCAGTGTAATTAAAATGATATATCGCTTGCTTTTAATGCAATTAGGCAGGTATAACGATACTTTATGGCAGCAGCTATTCATGCCAAAAAGAATAATTATCCCAATATAATTACCGCAATTCTAGGGATTTTCTTAGAATATTTTTTGTCATTTGGTTCATCAACTGAAGTAATTACACCAACATAATTTTTACATACAGCCCGTGGTTAAATAACCGTACTCTCACTAGGTGTCGTCACCGTCTGCCCTCTGAACACCTACACTGATGAAGAAGAGCTGTCACACCCCTGATTTGTCTCTGAGACAGCTTTACATGCTGGAAACACTTCCAAATAACAGTGACTGCAAGTTTTAATGGCCACGAGTTAAGAATTTGAGATTATCCACATGAAGGACACATTCAGGAAACCATTCCCTAGCAGTGACAAGGTGATGTGTGAAACTTATGGACAAGGTCAAGCATGCTTTTTATAAAGGGAATTTCTAACTACGTGGATCACCCTTTTTTTTTTTCTGTGACACCTTAATAACCCTCTGTACTTCACTTTCTACAACATATTGACCAGTGGATAGTATTCTGCAACATCATACACAGCAATACTTCGTGTCGTACAGAATCCTAGCTCAGTACAATTACATGATTATAGTTGTTCGCAATATTAAAGACAAATTTGTCTTTTGAAAGTTTTGAAAGTGCCTTCAGTTAGCCCACTTCGAGTTTGTGTAACTTAATGCTTTAGAAAAAACTTGAAACTGCACTACACTAACTGGCATGCCAGTTTTCCTAATACATTAAATCTCAAAGATGAAATCATAATGAAGATAAGAAATACAAGTGGAATGTTTCACTATAAAAATAAGCCACATTGCAGCTGTAGTGCTTTCAGAAAAAAAAAATCATTGAACATGCACAAGGAAATTGTGCTTTCTTGACAATTTCTAAAAATTACATCGACTATCAGTCACTAGGGTAAGCATTCAGAGATAAAGAAATAATGACATATACTGGCAACTATAAATTTTTAATAAAGGCTTTTGACTACTGATCACTAATGTATAAAACCATACACTTCAACCAGAGACTAAAGAAGGACCGTTAAGAATCACTGAGATTCTAAGATTTAACATTGACCTACAGAATCTTTGAGGTCTGACTACTGTGCAATTTTTCTTTTCTTTTATGCATTTTACAGGATTCTTTATAAGTTCACTAACTAAAAGAATTACAAAAAAAAAAAAAAAAAGCTCTGAAGTATATGCAGGAATTCCTCTCTTACTAGTGTCTAAAACTAAATTTAAAACATCTTTCGAACAACAGCCAAAAGTTGCATTTAAAATACACCAAAAAAAAGCAGTGGCTCAGGTAATGAGAGAGGAGGAAGACCAATTTTTTGTTTTATCTCAAGGATCTACAATAAAAGGAAAAACCTCCCTCTGTTCTAAAGACATCACTGCAATCTAAAAAGGGGAAAGACAAAGCCTTGGCCATCTTTCATAGAAGGAATTTAGGCACAATGGAGACCCACGAGCACCCATATAAAACCAGCTCTCGAACAGCACGGGACTTGCAGGTTTTTCAGGCACAGCTCTTGAGTATGGGAAAAAATGTTTCAAATGCAAAGCAGCAACCTGACATTCGGGCATGATTTGCAAAAGTCCTGAGCTGCACCAGCACCTTCATGACCAGTCCCACAACACCGACCCAAAACCCTTTGCCTCTCCATCTCCCAGCTGTGGTGCCCGCCTCCTATGTTCCTCTCTCTCAGGTGAGCAAGACCATTGTCTCTACTTGCACACAAAGCAGTTGCGCCTTGTGTATTCAAGGAGAACAGCAAACTCATGTAAAATCATCTTAAACTAAAGCTGCAGAAACTAGCCAGCTCCAGATGTTTACAGCGTTCCAATCTTCTGGTCCCAAGATTAAATACAATTAAGGACCAGAACTAGGAACACAAAAACTGAAAGAACACCATACCCACTAATTAAGCAAGATTAAGACATCTGGAAAACCAAAGTCCCCGCGTTCTTGGAGACTTCCATTTTTTTCCTGAAACCTGAATCCAGGCACTTCATTTTTACTATGGGATTTCCCAATGCAATATTTAGCCCTAGCACATCCCAAACAAAAGGATATAAAATGTAACTGGGATGGCAAAATAGTATCAGATCTTCATTTGTCTGCCAGTGTTTGAGCAAATACAACTGGAAATCTGCTGACACCTGGGAGCCCCTGTCCCTCCTAAAGTCTGGTGACACAGAGGCTGAAAAATAATCTTATCCTAAGAATGTTTACCCATTCTAAAGATGGTTTCCACAGTTTTTTAATACAACGCTCCTGCTGTTGCCCAAGAAGCAGCACATCTTCACCCAAGGAAGGGCTGCTGCACTGGACCTTGCTTTTGCCCAGTATTTCAGAGTGAGCTTTACCATCCAATGGCAAAAATTCTGTAACGATCTGGTCACTGATAACACCACAGAAGCCTCCAAGCTGCAAAGTTACAGCATTGCGTCCTGAATATTACCTAAAGCCTCACATCTAGAAGCAGCTCAGCGTATCGCGCAGAAGGATCTGAGGTCTTTCAGTTGAGTTCTCCAAAGAACAGCTACTTCTTACCAAAACACAGCAGATTTTTTCCACTTTTAAAGAAAAAGTCAGTTCTTAATCCCAGCAAGTCCCTCAGCAGAATTTTTAGAGGCCAGCCTAAGGTTTGTTCAGAACATTATACCTGGCAGAAGCCCACCGTACGAAAACAACAGGATGCAAAGATCACTTTCGATGGTTCTGTAAAAAATCTTATGTAATCCAGTACCCTCTCTCCTACACAGCCGATTACACCGCTGAAACCTAGGTTTCTGCTGCGAGCCAAACAAACTCCAGCTCGCTGTACTAAAAATCGTCGATGCCTTGCAGCGTGGGGTGAGAAGTGCCTGGAGGCCAGGCCACCACCACACCGTGCTGCTGCGGTGCTCCCCACGTGAGCACGGCCGCCAGGCTGGGTGCGCTTGCTGGGGAAGCCCACCCTGAGGGGCATTTCTGGGAATTTGAGTGATTTCTGGGAATTTGAGTGCTTTCTGATCAGCTCGGTTACTGCAGGGTGCCTGCCCCTCTCCCCACGGCAGGAGGGGCCCGTTTGGGCTGCTCGGGGCGCCCACCCCGATGTGGCCGTGACACGGAGCCAGTGTCGAGGACGTGAAATAACGGCGAGCCACGGGCGGAGCTCCACGTTTTGGATGATCGCCCTTTTCCTCTGGCATTCATTCTTATCCTGGCGGCCAGGGCCGAGGCCGCCAGGAGGGTTTCAGAATGCGGCGGGGGCGAGATGCAGCCCCCTAAATCCCCTTCACCCACCCCCGCCTCAGGACGCCCCCTGTCCCCCTCCCCTCCCGTTTCCCGCCGGCGGGAGGGCGCCGCGCGGCCGCCACGTGCCGGGCCCGGGCGGGAAGGGGCGCAACGGCCGTAACGGCTGCAACAGAATTGCAACGGCGCGTGGGGAGCCGTTGGGGCCCGCTGGTGCCGGTTGCGCGGCGCGGACACTCACGCTCCCGCAGGCGGCTCTTGAAGTTGGGGTCGCTGCGCCGCTTGCGGTCGAAGTAGATGCAGTACCCGATGAAGAGCGCCCCGCACAGCCCCGCGGCGATGGCGCTGGTCCTGCCCACCATCATGGCGCGCGGCGCCCACCGACGGCCCCGCGGCGCCGCCGAGCTCCGCAGGCACCTTGGGCCGGGCGGGCAGCGGAAGGCGACGCCGCGACGCGCTTCCGACGCGCCCCCACCCGCTCCCTCCCACCCCGCGTCATCGGCCGCCGCCGCCGCGCTCCCGCCCCGCCCCACGGCGCATGCGCGGCCGGCGGGCTCCGGGTGCAGGCATGGGGGGAGGCAGCAGTGGAGGCAGCAGGCAGAGCTCCCAGCCAGCGGCTCCGCACCGCACCCAGGCTTTATTAACACAGCGCCGCGTCCGGGGCTATTTCTTCTTCCCGGGTCTCCTCTTGGCAGCGCCTTTTCTCAGTCTCTTGGTCCTGGCGCCCCGCGCGCAGGGCGCTGCCTTCTCTCCCACGAAGGAGGCGCTGTGCACGCTGCCGCTGGGTGCCGCGCTGCGAGCCCTGCCCTTGGCGCCGCGGGGCTGGCCGGCCGCTCGCCGCGCCGCGCTGCCCTTCTCCACGCAGCGCTTCACACGCACCTTCCGCCCCTGCAGCGCCGAGTCGTTGAGCTTCAGAGCCAGGTGCACGGCGTCCGTGTTCTGTGGGAACAGGCACACGCCTTAGCCTCAGCGTGCTCCCGGCTGGTGACTTCCCGACACGCGGCTGCCACATGCTCTTGAAAATGAGCTCGCAAACAGCTTACACGAGGCGTGAGAGACAGAGGCAGAAAGGAGAAACTGGTAAAAAAGGTCTTGGGCTGCAGGAGGTAAACTAAGGAAGGTGAGGCTGGGAGAAAAATACGAGAAGCAAGTCGTACAAAGCCTAAATGGGCAGAACTAGCCGCAGAACTGGCAGGAGAAAAGAATTCCGCTTATATTTTGAAACAAGAAATGGGAGAATGTTGCAGTTACACCAAGCAAACTCATCTTTTCCTCCTATAAATCTTTTCCTTAAAGGTCATTTCTTTAACCCCAATGTTTTGCAGCTTTTCTTTGTACTTTACCTAAAATAGTTTGCTTTCATGAGCTTCCACGGGACCGGTCTTCCAAGCTACTTTTAAGGTACAAAACAATGCTACCACGTACCACATACATATCCAAAATAGCAAAAGGTCAGAAAAAGCTGTAAAAGCAAATCCCAGCTCAGATTTTGAAGAATTCCCAGTGTCCTGAGCGTGCCACACATACGTACCTCAAAGAGAATGTAGCCAAAGCCCTTCCCCATGCCGGTCTGCCTGTCTCGCACAATTCGCACTGCTACCACATCTCCGCAGTCAGCAAAGTGTTCTCTCACGGCATCATCGCTGATGTCTGCAGGAAGCACAATAAAACAGACGTCTCCTCAGTCAGAGAGACCACTTTAAAAGCCTACCCCAAATCCACATATTTTATATTTTACCACCTTAGGTACACAATATATGTATTTAGATAGAATTTTTTTTTGTATCAGTGCATAAGTATTGGTGGTTCAGAAAAATACCAGCTGGTTGACAATGCAGACTTTATAAAGGGCTGTTTACTTTGACACTCACCGATTTGCTAGCTTTGAAGAGTACAATACAAATCACAAAGGAGAATGAAGGCAAAGATCAAAAGATTTTTAAAAAATAATTTAATTTATGATTTGAAAATACTGAAAATGAAGATTCATTAAGATTCTTGTAGCTCCTTCTTATGCCAGAATCTGTTTCTAAGAATTACTAACTGATGATACCAAGCTTGAGCTGGCAGTTCTTGAAGCGTAATGCTCACTGACCTGGATGGGGGAGATGGGATTAATATTACTGAGCCTCACGTGTGGCCATTACCAGCATTCTCGGTCTCATACTTATCCAACTGGAAAGACAGGTGTGATGCAGCACTACTAAAACATAGGTTACTCTCCTTTCTGTACAGCTACACTTCAGCCTGTGGTAAGTCCCTTTACACAGCCAAAATTGCATCTGTGCTACGGGAGGGTCTGAATTTAATGGTACAGGTTTAATTGCAACGATGGGACCTCAGTGTGCAGTTCAAGGTGCTGAAGTCATTTCCAGAGCACTGCGAATGCCCAAACTGTTCTTTTCTTGCTCATCCCAAGCATCCTGACTCCATCAATACCCTCGTGCGGACCACACCCGGCAGCGATCCCTTCATCTACTCAGAAGCAGCTGAACACTCACTAGGCACTCACCCAAACTGCACAGCAAGCACCTCCGCAACAACCCATTGCCAGCAGCTGCCTGGACAGAGCCACTCAGCCCGTGGCTCACAGACAGCATCAAAAACAGCCCTAACTGTGTGTCATTTGGAAGTGGTTCACAAACAAGTTCCAGCACGTGTCTGATAGTTTATTATGCTATGGCTCTACGCAGTTTGGTCGTATTTAAGAAACATCAAGTAACAACAAGAAATAAAAAGTGCTTGTAGTTATTGAAATGCAACAGAAGAAAATTCATCTGCAGCACTTGCTGGAAACTTACCCCATTAGGTGTTTCAGTCAAAATATAAAACTACTATTTTAACAATTCCAGTAAGTGATATTTAGCTACCTAAACAAGATACCCTGAAATAACAATAAATAAAGAAAATCATAATGTCAACATATTCCAAAAAGTGTTAAATAATGAGGTATGAAAATCCATTTTACTTACCATATGAGAGATTTCCCAAGAATACAGAACGTTTATTGTCATGCTAAAGAAAACAAGGAAGAGGTAAGACACTATGTTACTTGTTATAAGAAAAAACAGAAAATTACTTTGAGTCACAAACATTACTCACCAAACTGTTTTTTGATGCGATGTCAACTCTGATGTGAAATCCACTAGCAATTTCTGTTCCGTTTCTTTTGGAGTCAAAAGAAAAAGGTAATATTTAATTTACAGTGTCCCTGCATAGTACTCTTCCAAAAGCAAATTTACTTTTTAAGTTTGAAAAAAAATATTTTAATTCAAGCAAAAGACAGGAGGCAGTTTAAATTTGTCCCTTCACACTCTGCGCTTTCAACATGAGGAGCAAAATCAAGACTTACTTTTTTAGAGCCTTAATGGCGTCACATTCTTCCTTAAATACAATGTAGGCATTAATGTACTTCACGTTAGGGTGAATCTTACGCCTGGAACAGGAAAAAGACATGCATTTAAATAATTCTGAGATACTGTGCAGTGCAGATACACTTGTTAAACATGTTTATATCTCCTCTGTTTTGCACACAGGAGCAAATTCAATTCTCTTAAAGGCTGAGAAGCTCCTTATGTCCAAGGAAGTCCCACTGTAAATCTTAGCTTCTATTTGCACCCAGATTGAGCATCCTCAGTGCAGAAATACACCCAAAGGAATTAAAGACAATTACTGCACTTGTATTTCAGCAAGGAGGTAGACAACCTAACATAATTAATTCCTTACTGCTATACTGGGCACATAATACCTTTTTACTTCTCAAAAAACTGTGCATACACACAAAGGTAATTTCAGAAGTCAAAGAAACAAAAGAAAGAATGAATATAGCTAAATATGTAAGAACATTTAAAGATCATTTTTGCCTTAAAAAATAAAGCATGAAACTCACAAGCAGAACCTACTTTATTGCTGCTAACTTTTTGGATAAAGTGTCTTCTGCTGGAACCTTTAAAATAAAAAGAGCTTACGTTAACTAGTGTCAATTTATCTTAAATGCTTGCTCTCAAAGACAAAGAAGAAGTCAAACGGGTTCCACTCCCACCCAGAGTAATGTAGCCAGTACACAGAGCAGATGATGTAAATGGATATTCTCAGAGATGATCTAGAAGTAGCTTAAAATTACACAGCTGGCTTTAACCTGGTCTGTTATGTTTCTTGAGTTCCAAGACAATTATCTTCAACTGTTGTACCCAGTACAGTGATTCACAATCAATATTCCTTAGCTCCTGTAATTTAAGAACAGCTAAACAATACCTTAGTTAAACCCCCAATAATACAGGCTTCCTTCTGGGACAGAAAACACAGCTCCAACTGTACAAACTGCTGTTACAGAAAGTGTCAAATGTGATGAAAGGAAAGATGCACCTGTGGTGTCTCTCTGGTAAAATCTCCAGGGCTTCTTCTAATAGTAAAATGTACCCACCCACACCCGCTTCTGATTTAATGAACGTACAACCCTTATAAACACTATCCTGTAAGGTCACAAAAGTAAAAGCCACGTAACCGCAGAAGAAATAACGTACCACAGAACGGAATCGAATGGATTCTATTTGTCCATATTCTTTAAAAAGGGATTTCAGCATCTGAACAGAAAACATTACAGATATTGAATGTATTTTTGAATCCTGACAACAATTATTGTGAACACTTAATTACTAGTAAGATTTTTACACTATTTTCATTTCACTCATACAAGGTATGTTTATGGACTACTAAAAATAAGCAACTTGTAACTACTTCTGTATTTCCTGTAGCAGCAGCTTATGTTAGAGACTGCCAAAACTGAATTCACACCCCTAAGTATAGAGGAAGGTATAAATTTAAAATATTTTAGGCAACCATCTGAAATATTATTTATGTTCAAAATCAGGAGCAGATTTAAGCTTTGTACTTGCAGTTGTCATTTATTGAGCATTATTAAACTGAAAAAGAAATCAACCAAAAGGAATCTTCTACCAAAGAAAGAGCAACTGCAGCCACTGCTGTAAAAAGCTCAACCCCACTAAGCCAGAAGAGGCTGCCTCTAATGGTTACTGCTAAGCGTTATTTCCTACTTTCACAAAAAGCAATTTTAGTCACAAGCACATACAAGTTCTCATGAGGAAACATTCCCTTAAACCAAGGTAACTTTCATCAGCCTTTTCATTCTTTCAGCTGCCAGAATCCACTCATGTACCTGAGCAGTGGAGTTGACAGGTAGGTTTCCAACAAACACCGTTCTTTTGTTTTTTATCATTTCTTCCGCCTCATTTTTTTTCTTTTGTTGTTTTAGAGTTTCTGAATTAACACCACTTTTCGCAATGGCACGTGAAGTCCGTTTCGCTTTGCTTTGAAATAGTTTTTGCTCCTCTTCTTCATCTGCCTGTTGTAAAGCACTCTCCCTTTTCAGAAAAAGACAAGCAAATTATAATTGATGGGGAAAAAAACAGGACATTTGAGGTAAAAGAACTGAACCCTCCAAGACAGGAATTTTAACTTACAATTTTAAATGATTACCTTCAATGTAAATTTTCAAACATTTTTGCCTGTTATGCATTACATATACAAAGTTTTCTATATTATGGAACGGTCAGGTATCTGCTGCCCCAGACCATGGAACTCACCGTTATGTATAATTAAGCAAGAATTCAGAAGTACATTGTTTTGTCTAAAAACGAAGGGAGACAAATCATCTTTGTACAGCAGAAATAAGAAAAGATTTTATTCCTGGCATCCACAGCACTCAAACAAACCACCTTTTGGGATCCATCACTTTTCGTGTAGATTTCTACACAAACTTGCCATAACAGCATGAACAATAAGCAAGAAGGCTGCTGATACCAAAACACCAAATTATTTTGTTTCTTGGGCATGAAAAATGCAACACTATCAGAGACGTGGTATTAGCCTCAGGAGCTACAACCAAACAAATGTCGATATTCAGGAACTGAACAGAGACTAGCTTCCTGCTTGAGCTGACTGCACCTCAGTTGCCCTGCATGTTTAAGGGAGCTGACAGCTACTAACAGAGCAGGTCTGCATCGCAGCAGTAGCCAGTGCACTAAGGACAACTAACTCTGGCTGTGCCTTGCTTCTACTGAAAACGCCTCTGCTCCTTTGACTGCAGGACTGCTGGATAAAGGCAACTACAGCTCGAAGCATCACCTTGTACCGGAGAGGAGAGCAGCATCTGCATGTCCAACCTCCAGCCCTGCTGGCTCTCTAACAGCAGTTCTGCATTCCACAGACCAAGGACCTACCTTGGACAAGAAGCGGAAGTATTTTATTGCCTTCTGGTGCAAACTATGGGACGCTGCCACAAGCTTCTTCAAAACCACCTTCTTAAACTCCAGGTTGAGATTAATAGCAGACTAACGCTTTGTTGTTTCACTAGACTCCTAATGTTAGGATTAATCTAGATGGATTTTTTTCTTTAGTCCTACTTTAAGAAGGTATCACCTACTTACCTGTTTGCCAACTTTTTCCCTGCTTTCGAAAGTTCCTTTTTTCCCGTTTTCTTCACTTTTACAGGAGGTTCTTGCTTGTTAGACGAGCCCTGATCTTCTGATGCTTTCTCCACTTCCGCATGCTTTCTCTTCTTATTTTCCTTGAAAAAAAAGTTACGAGAAACTAACTTGAACAACAGAACTCCAGAAACACCTTGTGATTGCTTTATGAGTTATGATTTATTTAGCGCGCCACCACGTGCCCGCCCCCCCGGCAGAGCGGACTCACCCTGGGCACGGCCACCAGCACGGGCGGCGGGGCGGCGGCGCGGAAGAGGCCGTCCAGGGGCCGCGCCGCCGGCCCTGCGCCGGGACAGAGGCTGCCGAGCACCTGCCCCACCACGTAGTCGCCGCCGGCCCTGTGAGGGAGGGGAGGGGAGCGGCGTTAACGGCCAACGGTAACGGCTAACGGTAACGGCCAACGGCCGCCGCGCGAGCGGCTGAGGGGATGGGGGGGGAGGGGGGGGGGAGGGTAAGGCGCGCGCTGACGCACCCGGGCAACGGCTCCGCGGCTCGCCGGGACGCCGCCATGGCTGCGGCTCAGTGCAAGGCGGCGGCTGCGTCACTTCCGGCGGGAGGGGCGGGAAGAAGGCTGAGGCGGCTGAGGGGAGCTGGAAAGAAGGGCGGGCAGCGGCACGGCCGGCAGCCCACAGCCCGCTGCGGAAATCCCGATTTGTGCAGTTTCAGCTTAATGGAACATGGGGAAGCCCGGGGAGGTGGCTAACGAGGAACCTCTCCGTTACCCCACGTTAAAGCAGCCAGCGACTGTCTGTCAACGGGGGAGTGCTGGCACGGGCAGGCTGACCCCACAGCCTGTCGTGAGGGAGGCTGAGAGCACCCAGCTGAGATCGAAGGCAGAACCGAATTATTAAAAGTGATGATTATTGAAGTTATCCCCAGCAGTCTCAGATCACTGCTAATTATGAAAAAAGCATCCAAAGCTCATCAGTCATGTCTCATCCTCATGAGTAGTCCATCATTGTGCAGGTGCAACAGTATTTTGGCCAGCTGAGTGAAGGCTACACATGGTGTCAATAGATATAATCAAAGACTTTGTTCACATTTCACTTCTACCATATCAGAACTTAGCCAGTAGTTATTAAAAGTCAGCACATTTCTCCAGGAGCTCTCGTATTCATTGACAAACTACCTGAATTGACACAAACCAAAGCTCATCTTTATTTCAACTGGTTCCGCTTTAACGATGTCAACAGGCGAAGCTCTCCTGTTCTGCTGAAAAAAGATTAATTTGAGCCGACTGCTAAGAGGAAAAGGGGGCCAATGTGTACCTGGTCTAACTCATTTTCATATGTTTATTAGCAAATGGTATTTAATGTGATGTAAACTGATTCTGGAGCTTGGTGTCACTTAAATGAACACATTACGGTTACTTAATTAAACTGTTAGAAACAAAATCAGGGATTCACAAACTATGGCATTTTATTTCAGAGGCCTTTGCTTACATTTGTACAATATATTACATAATTCTCCATTTTCTGCAGAACCTAATATATATTTTATAGCTTTTTTCTATAAGCTTTTCCTTCAATGTTTGTCAACAAATTTTTACAGTCCTGTACAATTCTGAATACTTTGAAACCATTTTCAATAAAATCAGTTAACCTTAAGCACACACTACGAAGACTGAAAATGCTTTTCTTAGAAAAGTCAAATGTAAAGGATTCTGACACTCTAGCATCTACAAACAAAATGCTTTGAATTCTTACATGTTGTATTGCCAGAAAACAAAGAAAAACATGCCAGCCCCTATTTCCCCAGCCAAAAGAAGTACACAGAACTACAATTAAAACAGTAAAACAATCTGTACAATAAAGTACTGTGTATTAACAGTGCCAGGTATTAAATAGCTTGAATGAACACTTCCGCAATATACAAATGTCTTACAAAGGTATATAATTAACAGGAGAGAGCTTGGGATTCATACAACATAAAATCAATACAAGTGAAAACAGTTTGAAGTTGGTTTTGGAATTTGTACAAGGCATTTAAAAAATTAAATGTCTACCACTCAGCTAGCTATTTATTTTAAAAACAACTACCCTTTCGTGGCAGTGTTCATATCAGCAACCACAAATTATAACCTCACACCTTACTCGGTCTTGAAGTCCTCTCCTTGAAGCTCGTAATAAAATAAGCATTACAAATGAAATATTTGTTGCTTTAAGGGAAAAGAAACATTTACAAGAAAACACAAAAATATAACTGTTATAATCCATTATGAATAAATATACACTTTAAACTGGCTAAATACAATCTTTATACATTAAGATTTAATACAGTTTGTTAGCCATTTTCTTCCTTTTTTCATAATGTATTTTATCAAAATTAAAAAAAAATACTGTTTTATAGAAAAATGGCAAAGTACAGTAGTTTCATTCCAATTAATGGGCCGTTAAAACCCAGAGTAACCTATTTAAGCCTAATTCAAACCTGTAAACATTAGTCAGTTTTGTTTGTTTGTTTTTAAAGGAATCCTTGTATTTGGTTATCAGGACTGATGTCAAACATCCTAACTGCAGGTTTTGAATTGAATACATGTGCTTGACGTATACAATTAAGCCACTATAAGGTGACTTAGCAGTTAAAAAACAATTAGCTTGTACAAATGAAAATAGGTTCAATATTTGTCATAAATAAATGGAAAAATATCAAATGTTCCAGCTTTAACAAAATACCAGGGAATACATGTACAGTAAGCCTTACCACATTTATTTAGATCAACCCAACAACTATATGCTTATTGTACTGTCTCTACAGGCAGTGAACAGCCTCCATTTGCCACAGTGGAAGGCCTTCGAGTCACTGGACTTACAATTCCCAGACAAGTTGGAAACAATTATTGCTTGAGGAAAAGCAGTTTGTTGTACTTTTTCTTCATAAAAGTGCACTTAAGTGCAAAGTTAGCTTGTCAAGAAACAACTTTAAATACAAAATAGTGCTTGTCTGAATTTTGTGCCACTGTGCAGTATAAAAAAAATCAAAAAAAAAAAGAGTGGCCCTCAGCAGCCATTAAGTGCAAAGTGCTTTGGCAAGTCCTGCTGTCACCTGCACTCAACTGACATTCCATTCTGTGATGAACTTGACATAGATGGCTCTGCTAACGTTAACATAACCGCAGCCGTAATGGAACTAGAGGAAGGTGATGAGGAGGAAGATGACGTAGTAGCAGCACCTGCACGGGAATGAGAAAACACAGGTTTTACACAGTTTACATTTCAAGCAGTAAAAAGTTTCTCCCATTTGATGACAAGGACTTGTGTATCCTGACTCCAGCATCTCAATGTCTAATAATTAAAAATACCTCAGTTTCCTAGCTTTTGTGGGCAATACTCTGAAAGGCAAGTTAGGCTGTGTTCAAGAAAGCACAACATTGCCCCTTGCAGCCCCAATTCACTGATCAAAGAACACCAAATGTCATTTTTCCCCACAAGCACACTCAACAGCTCCCTTCTCTCTGCAAATGTACACTGGCAGAGCCTTGTCCCAGCACTGAACCTGCCCAAACAGGCAGCTCTGGCAACCAAGCAGCAACTGTAGTGCCCGTGTAAAGGCTGCAGTCCCCAAAATCTTCCTTTACATGGCATTTCAGCCTTTCTTCTTATAATCAGTGCACAGTTAAATATGCAGATAAAATGATGTGGAGAAAATCTTCTTAATGCTGTCACAGAAGCAGGCTCACTAGAACATTCACTTACAGAAATGAAACAGCTTCAGAGCAACAAGACAGTTTATTTGATGGTTTACCTTAAGCTCATATCACTTATGCTAAGGTGAGAGCCTTAACTAAATACATAAGAAATATTACAGTAAGCTATAGTATAAGTTGAAGTAATGTTATTCAGAACCTCAACATGTTTTGTCCACAGCTTAGAAAAGTTTATTAAACTTTTTTTTCCTGTATAAAGTAGTTCTGCTTAAATAAGAGCAGATGTAGATAATACAGATAATATAGAAATAGATAGCCTGCCTTTTAATGTGTCATGTCTCCCCCGCACCACGTTTAGTTAAATATCACTGGATACCTGAATTGTACCTTTTAAAGATCTTAAAATAATATATACAGTGTTTTAAATAAAATTACATGAAAAAACAACACAAACAAACCCGGAGTCCTAAAGGCACATGTCTTCCTAAAAAATATCCAATTCTTACCTACACCTTAAGCACATGACATGTGACAGCCCTCTCAAAGAAGAGGCTAGGTCCCAGCACTTACTTTCCCGCTCCTTTTTCTTTAAGCGCTTTCTTCTTCGGTCAATGGAAGCCACCTCAGATTTTAAGGACAGGTAATGTTTCCTGATTTCCTGCAATTTTTCTTGAAGAACAGTTATGCGCTCTGCACTAGTCAGATTTTCCAAGTCAGCTGCAAATGAAACAACCTCTGTTAATTACTGTACTGCAGCACTTCCAAACGGTTCTGAACGCCAGTGAAGTGGGAAGTACTCAAATCTTAGTGACATGCTTTGGCACAGCAGACAGCAAATCCAAACATAGCAACAGCAACTGCTGTTTATTACCACAAACATTTGATTTTTTTTTTTTTTAAGTGATACCACCAACAGATGCGCTTTTTTTTTTTTTTTTAATAAAGGGAGTAGGAGGAGAAAACGCATGCATTCCTCTCCATAATGCACTGGCAAATAAATAGAGACATATAATGAAAACACAGGGGCCAAAACGAGCTTTGAGTCTGCTGCTTTGAGTCCTTGCTAGAGCTCTGCTTGGTCTAATACACCAGGAAGGTCAGTTGTGCCTGACTTGCCTTGCTCAAGCAGGTTACAACAGGAATTATAGTAGCTGTGGGATGGTTCTAATCTAAACCCATGGCATATGGGCATAAGGTACAACAAGATCAGGTCTCTTCTCTCCCGTATCTCACATGGGGGGGACATGGACACCGGCAGCACAGGAGCTGCCCTCGGGCTGTTCCCAGCTGGGAACTCTTTCCAGTGTGGCGCACACCTGCGGGGGCACAGCCAGGAAGAAGCAGCTGGGTCCAGTCCCCTTCAGCCACAGGTAAGCCAAGCTGTACACACTCTATTCAAAAACATTTAAGAATCATTCAATATACTGTGGGCCATCTGAAGCCACATTAGTCCTCCATCAAAGGACCAAAAGCCACAACTGTACAAGGCTGTGGGGAGATGAAGAAAGCTCACATTCTGCAAATATCCTATGCCCTGCAGCAGCAGGAAATGCGTTAATAGCACTCCAAAATCCAACTTGTTTCCTGCCAAGCAGCGTTCGCAGGTGCCATGTAGCAAAGGTAGACAGGAAGGAGAAAAAGCTCTTAAAGTACGTTACACAAGAAAACTGCCCAATGAATCTCAGCAGGCTGAAAGTGACAATAGAGACAACATTACACAGTCCTGAAGAACTGGAGAATGTAAAGTTGGCTGTGAGGAAGAACTAGGAGAAACATTCTTTCAAAGTAAGAGTAACAGAGATTAAACTGTAAGAGTAAAATAGATTGCCAGACAGTAGAAGAAAATGTAGAGTCAGATTCTCTCAGCACAGAAATAGCTGGTGAAGGGGAGAGTTCCCTAGACATAAGAAACACTGCTAGCAAAAAAAAAAAACAACAACAAAACTCAGAAGAAGCGTCTGCACAGTGTGCTGTACTAGC